CCCTCCAGTTCCTGATCATGACCTCCGCATCTTCTGAGACGAGGGTAACATCCAGGACCTCTCTTCTGCTCTTCGTTATGAAGGTAGGCTCGCTACCCCTATTACTTATAACTAAGTTAGATTTTAGTATGAATTCAAAGAGTGACTCACCCCGTTCATTGATGTCTCCACTTCCCCATGTGCTATGGTGTGCATTTGCATCACCTCCTAGAATCAGGGCCCCGTCCCAGCGCTCCACTAAATGTTCGACCGGTAGGGTTGGAACAGGCCTGTCATGTGCCAGATACATCGAGGCAAGCCTTATTTGTCGTCCGTTCGCCTCCAGACTGATGGTGGTGGTGTCCTCGTCACTGAACTGAGGAAGAAACAATATTTTTAGTTTGGTACTAACAAGGATGCAGGCCCTTGGTTTACCTATTGTAGCTCCACTTATCAAAGTGTGCTCTGCCGACTTCAGCCCGCATATTCCATGCCCTATCACCCAAGGCTCCTGGATGAGGGCGATGTCTGCTGCCCCCTTGGAGAGCTGGAGCAGCAGTGCAGCCGACGCTGCTTTGCTGTGGTGGAGATTAATCTGGAGGACGCGAACCATCTTGGCCGCACCTTCCCACCCCCTCCACCACTGTTGAGTTCGCCTCGTCGTCATCTGACATCAGCTCCTCTTCCGTGTATTGCCGGAAGATATGGTCGACTCCCAGAGAGGATGTAGATGAGGCGTATCCACCAGCCAGGTCATCCATCGGATTGGCCTGGTTGGATTCCTCGTCCACCTCATCCTCGCTGTTGTCTGCTTCCGGCTCAACTTCGTTGCCTCTTGCTGCGTTCACGTCGTTCGTGTACACCCTTATCTTTGCGGTGTCGAAACCGTAATTGATGACGCCCCCCAGTCTTTTCGAGGAGTGGCAACGACTCCTTATTTAGCAAAAGGACCGCCTGACGAGTCGCCTTTGTGCTGTGCTCTAGCCGCACCACCTTCCAATTGTGAGAGGGTAACTCGGGATTAAAGAGCCTTATAATCTCAAGCACTCTCTCTGGTTCGGTCGGTTTGGCCGGTATCCATGCCCTTGCTCTGGGCCTGGATGGGATGTCCTTGAAGTCCACAGCCCGTAGCATCGCTCCGGGGTAGACCTCTCCCAGCATGGCCATCGCCTTCTTGTACATGCCCGCCGACCTTTCATCGTCGCACGCGACGATCTTGACGTTACCTTGGAACCAACCTGCGTCCCGGCATATCGGAGGTGGTCCGGGGTGCTCCCGAAGCACGCTGACGCAGATGTTCGCCAATTCCGCTTTAACCCATTTCCAATGAGCTCTCAGTGCCAAATCGTCTTCCTGGTTCTCATCGAGCACACCCAGGAGGATCCGATTTTTGGCTACCTCAGCAAAGGTGGGGCCTTGCGTCCTGGCTCTTTTTGACTTATTTTGCGCAACCTCCATCGATCTATTGCGCTTTTCCGCAGCTGGTGGCTCTCCGAGCACCGGCAGCTGATAGTCGGGCACTATCGTCATTGCCCACGCTATCTCCGACCGGATCTCTTCCACGTGACAGGGCAGCGCCCTGCTACATAGGTCCGGGGTTAATGCGGATCTCTTCAAGATCCTCATGGCAGCCTTCCTGTGCTTGGCAATGGCTGCGTTTGGTGGTGGCCTGTCATCAGGCCTTGTAAATGCCGTAGGAGTAGGGGGAGGCGGGGCCCGCGCATCAGCTCTGGCGCCCCCTGGGGCTGCAAGCTGCAAGCCAGGTTTGCCTTCACTGGTGCCGGGAAAATCCCGTTTCGGTTCCCCCACCCTCTTCCTTTCCGCTTTTGTGGATACGCCTGACCCCGGCATCGCCAGAGGCTTACGTACCCCACTAGTGCTGGCCACGGTGACTTTAGATCATTTACATATATTTCATTTCCACAATGCCTTAACCGCAGTTTATGCAATTGGAAATAATAAAAGCAAACGAAAGGCTGCATTTCTTTATTCATTCTAAACGTTTGGAATAAACTTTTGTTTATTTATTCTTAAGAACGTTCCTGATGATATGTTAACGTATATTTCAAACGCATTCTGTTTATTCCGGCTGTGAAATGCGATTATCCGGAATGTATAAAGAAACGCAGCCAATGTAAAAAAGTAACTTTTAGCAAAAAACCGACTTAAAAACAATATACATATCTATATATTGCATGATTCAATGATCGGATCTAAACCAAATTAGTATGGGACCACAGTGGTGCAAAGTTATGCGGTAACATACATAAAAACAAACAAAACAATATTCCGACGAACTGATAACCTCCTTCTTCCAAAAGTCGGTTAAAAAGTAAAAAGTAAGGAATAAATCTTGCTTGATCACCTCATTTCAAAATTCTTGGAACTTAGCTCAGCTGGTAACTGCAGCCAAGCTTTTGGTGGAAATGGGCTTCAAATGTTTTTCTAAATCACAAAAAAGGTAAGTTGATTATATGGTTGTTTTGAATAAATTCGGATATCCTCTATCCGAGCTGGATCGGTGAGCATCCTAAGTTGCATTAGACTAAGGTAAAGTCACTGTTGGGCATATTTTAATTGTAATTAATTGTTGATTGTGATTTTCTGTAGTTAACATTTAACAACTTTATAATTGCGCATTTTATTAAATATTAACGATTAAAAATGATTTGAGAAACCTTCGATAAGCGCTATAGCGACTAATTACAGCCAGCAAATACTTTCTCTAACGTAAGAGAAATAGTTCGATTTTACATTAGAATTCTAATATAGTTCTCGAATCGATTGGTTAGAGAATGCTTAGATATCTAACATCTTTCTTGATAGGGACTAAGTCCTTTTTTTAGAGAATGCTATAAATCTTGACAGTTTCGCTAATGGTCTTCTAACCTTCTACCTTATGCCGAATTTCCACAAGGCTCTGAAATGACAAAAAATTAGAGGCATTTAAAAAATGCCATATGGAGATAAATTAAATTTCCATTTTTTTTACGTTTTCTAATCGCTTTCTAACCTAAATGTTTGTAGGGTACTAAAAATGTACATATCGCTCGTTAACTTCAGTAGTGTCATAATCCTAAATATACAAATTTTGAGTTGAGTATGCGGAAATTACTTCTACCTCTTCTATGTTATGTGAAGATTTCATAGCTGTATCGATTACCAGTATCTCACTAGAACAAAATATGTATTGAAGTAAATGAGCGATATGAGCGAATTGAATACCTCTTATAGTGAATTAAACATGTTTCAATAAATATTAAAAACGAACTCTAATTTGCGGGACCATTACCTATTTAAAACAACTCAAAAACCAATCTTTTTTAAATAACTAACCTTTCTTTCATTTAGAATATATAAAAATAACTTAATATATACATTTCAGTAAGTAAAAGAATCATTGACGTGAGCAGCCACTTATGTACTTATGTATATCTTAAACCTCATCTTCATTTAGTAACATATTTGGTATACCCTCTGTTATGGGGAAAATACGCCCCGTTTCGGGACACTCCAATTGCCCTTCAAGCACATCGATTTCGAGTAGCAAATGATGGAGTTTCTTTAACAATTCTTCATTCTCAGCAATATTCGTGGGTTGTTCGGCGGGAATGTCATCACCCAAGTCAACCTAGTGAAAATAATAATACAGTAAGTTGCAAAATTTAGAATATTCTCAACCGACTTACCACTTCCGCAGCCAAACGTATTGCTGACCAATCCAGTCGAGGAAGTAACCGTTCTACGAATGTGGGATTGAATTCGCTTTCAATAATGTCTTTTTTTGCAATCTGCAAAAAAATAGCATTGAAAAAATTGTGGAAAAAATAAAAATAGCTTCCTCCCCCCGACATGTTTTGATCGGTGTATACAGTATTCTAGTGGCATATGCACTGCTGCGATAAATATCTTACCGTCAACTTTAGCGGAAATCCAACCTTCACACCTTTTATGGCTTTAGATGTTAGAAAGTTATAGGTACTAAGCCTCATATTGTTCTTTTATATTAATATTATAAAAATTGTTAATAACCAATTGTCTTTACCACGTTCTTAAACAAATGCATTGACAGTGCTGCCATGCTGCTAAAGATTCTTTAGTGACTCAACGACTTTTGAAACACAGCCGGGTATACGCGGTTGCATTTATTGCAATATTGTTACGATTATCCTCGAAACCTTGAGGGATTTCCCAAATATACTCGGGCTCGTAT